TTTTTTCTTTTGCAAATACTAATCAGAAACATAGGTGTTATTGGTATCGACATACATATCAATACATTCCTGGTTTGCCTGACCGTTACGATCTTAGAGGTGATATATATTGATAAATCCCTGTGAAGCAATAATGACACTAGTACTACTAACAGTACCACCAGCAGTAATAGTAACACTGATAGGCCTAGTAATGATTTAAGTAGTAAGGTTAATAGTGACATAAGTATTGTGCTTAATAATGGCGTAAGTAGTAAACCAAGTACTGACATAGGTAGTAGGCCTAGCCGCATAGTAATGGCATTAATTGCAGTTAGGACTAGTAATAGAAACTATAGTAATAATAACAATACTAATAACAATGTTAACGATAGTAATATTAACTGAAATTTATATTGAAATTTAAGAATGTAATGACTAATGTAAAGGTGTATGCATTTGTACAAAATTATTAATTGACTCAGTTTACAAAATATTTAGATGTAATACTCATTTATTAAAGAAAATGGCAGTATTAAGAGGCTAACACAGGTTATTATAAATTATAAACTGTATGATGAAAAATTCTGGAAATATTAGGATAGGCTTCAAAAATGAAAAAAAAACTCCGCACGTCATTATAAAATGTGCAAAATAGCCTAATTAAAAAGTAGGAGTGCAATGGATATTAGTGAGAGACAATTTTAAAAACATACAAGACTCAAGACTTTTTATCATCCTCCCTCTTATATATATGTTGTGTTGATTTAGGGGCGACGACGATCGTGGGATCGGATGCGCCCCTCTTATATATATATGAGGGGTATAACTGCCGGTCTCTTTCGGTGTTCAAGAGTATCTAACAACGTAGTTGATCAGGCCGTCAAGAGGAGTGTGGTCAAACTCTGGGACATGGTGACATTGTTCCTAGGATCCACATCATGCTAAGTCTTCGACTAGAAGGTGAAGGGACGACGACGTTTCGGTCCGTCCTGGACCATTCTCAAGTCGACTTGAGAATGGTCCAGGACGGACCGAAACGTCGTCGTCCCTTCACCTTCTAGTGTGTGGTCTGGTCAACATAATTTAGCTACGTTATTGTGACTCATCGCCTTCATGCTAAGTCTTCGTTTGTCATGATGAGGATTTTGTGAAATATTTCACATTAAGTGGAATTCATTCAAAACATTTTGTTTACAATTTACCAATATTAAGTGATATAAATAATGATAATATGTTTTCACAAACATAATAACATAGGATAAAAAATTCACACCAATGTGTTTATGTATTTTATGTAAAGATTTGAACTACAGCAAGTCGTTGAGATGAGTCTCGTCCAAATCATATGCTCAGACCAGGCTAATGCACTCAAGTCCACTACGGGCTCGCCATAGCCCCGTGCTACTTGGAACTTTTTGTTCCAGGTAGCGAATCTTAAACAACAACAACAATGCACTCAAGAGAGTACTGAAGACCAAGTGTAGTTCAAATCATTACATAAAATACATAAGTACTTTTGTTATCATATATTATGTAATATATATAAAAAAATATACCAGATAACAAATAACTTCATTTAGAGCGACAAATCAATAAGCCGCATAAATGTGAAAGATAACCAATATTAATAAATATACTGTAACATGAAATCACATAAATTTGCACTCAGTATTTTACATCAACAGATTTAGAGACTTGCCTGTATGAAATCATTTTAAACACACATTTATGTAAAATTGCCTTCGTTTCAACAGGATTTAAAATGCTTCAAGCATTTTAAATTTAAACAAGCTATCTCTTTGAGACAGTAAATAATTAATAATATCAATATAGAGCTGGAGGTACCCCTACTTTCTGACTGACTATAGATATATAATATAACAACTGACTAGTTGTTGTATTATATCCTGTAGACTTGCTAAACTATTATATACATCACTCATTATAAAATTGTACTAACTGTGATTGAGACTAGGCGGTAAGTAAATACCATGCTGTACAGGAGGTATTGAAAGATTGGCTATTGACTATTAAGTCTCACTGTTGTTCAATTACCTGGTGGATACGAGGGTCTAAGACATAGATGGTAGGAAAGAGAGCAAAGAATAGGTATACAGGATAGGATATGAGAGAGTTTCCATCTGGAATGCAATGCAGTAATAAATTCAGTGGGATAACACCTCAGGACGTAATGGAATTTTTGAGACCATCACGCCAGGAAAATACAGGTCGATCATCACAGTATAAAAATCGTAAACAATATAAAAGTAGAGGGATGACCACGGTACTCACACAATCATAGACACGTTCCTCTTAGATGCCAGAAGATCTCACAGCAACCGTTGGTAAACAAGAAGTCAGAGCTTATCACTCTCCTCAGTAAGGCGAGTCTCCAGTTGTATGTATCCATTGAGAGTGACCTGAGATGTTTCCAGAGGCTGTCCTGAGAGGTGGAGGCTACTAGAGTCCTCTCTGGGATATTCTGAGACAGAGTAGCTGGAGGTTGTGTGAGGGAGAGATGATGTTGTTGAGAAGGGCCAGGTTGAGCCAGAGAGGTGAGGTAGCATTTCACATACCCTCTTCTTCTGATAGTGCCCAGAAGGTCGGTGAACTAGTCCCCTTCTGACATTGAAGTCCCACGAGAACGTTGAACACCTCAAAACCCCTTGCTGTTTGACCCAAGATGGAGAATCTAGAGCACAAGAGCTAGAGGAAGACAGATTTTTAGTGTGAACTAGATCCTTGACTTGGATGAGTGTGTGTGGGGCTTTGGGGGCATTGTACGGGAGGAAGACTTGCATCTGGCGACTCTCGTGGATTTCTTACATCTGTATATTGGGTGAATACTTGTTGCCATATTCTAACATCACAATTATCCACCATTCTATTTGCCTTGTTAGGGATTATACAGTGTAGGATTTCAGTGCTAAAATGAAATTAATTGAATTGTAACCCTTAGTCTCTTATACATCAGTTCTCTCATAACTATCATATTAAGAGGCTACTGGATTCAAGCATTCTTGGGGCACCTCCTTCGGTTTGCTGTCGATATCAGTTAAGTTTTAAATTACCTCCTAGACATTAAGGAATATTATCAAAAGTGTGCGAGTAAGGTGCCCCGGCACCTATGGAAATTAATATCTCCAAACCAAGAGTGAATTGGCATCGTAGGCCGCCAGTAAAAGTAATTATCGAAAGTAATTAATTTCGGTAAGGGCGAAGGTGGCAAAGATTTAAGTCGTTGTAAGCGAGTACATTCTGTAAATTATAATTTTTGTTTAAACAGATGCAAGGTCAACAAGGACATATTTTTTTTTACAAGAGGTGGGACAAGGACAAAATGAAACAGATATATCAGAAGAAAGTGTTTCAGTATGAGGGTATCGAAAGCGTCTCGAGGCAAACTGCTTATGCGACAAACTCATCATCGCAAAAGGTGATTAATAAGTAAAAGACACACACACATTCTCGCAGCTGAGTGGACAGCCCTCTGGGGTCGTAGTCCTACGGGCCCGGGTTCGATTCCTGGTCGAGGCAGAAAAAAACGGGCAGAGTTTCGTTGATGCCTCTGTTCCTGATACCTTTGTTCACCTAGCAGTAAATTGGTCCCTAGGATTGCGATGGCTACTACGGGTTGCATCCTGGGGATGTGTGAGAGTGAAATATGTAGCAGAAATTATAAAAGAAAATAAGTCTAAAGTCAGTACATTAGACAACTGACGGTTAGAAAGGCGGGGTCCAAGAGCTAACAACGGGATCCTGCATAGTCAAATATTAAATACACATGCGCACACTCACGTACTGTGTCCAAAGGAAGACATTTTTTGCACCTCCATGAGACAATGGACTGCATTGCTTGAATAAAGATCTAACTTTTACATACTTGTCAGAACAAATACGGTGACGGGGCTGATAAGGCAGAGGTTAGGGAGAAAGCCCGACGCATTTTTTCCAGCTTCAAGCAGAGATAAAAATGCGGTGGAAGATAGCATGAGAAAAGATAGAAACCAAGATAAACAGATTGAAACAGCCAGAGTCAGATATTTTAAGCTTTAGAGAAGCTTGAGCAAGCTTCGAAAGATGACAACTAACCGGCATTACACCTACACAACACTTCCTATCGCCCTTAAAATACAGCATCGCAGCTTAAGGATAACGGGCTTAACATTGACCGAGATGGGATTTTGTGAAACATAAGCCTTCACCTTAGAATAAAACTTTATAACTTTACATACATGAGGAACAGAGATGAGTTTTTTAATGATTCAAACATCAGTGGAACCGTTGTGTCCTGATCGTCGCCGCGCATTTTTTGTTTCCCTGAGCGGCCATGTTGCGTGGCCCGCACTGATGTTGTCAGGCAAACTGTGGGATCAGTGCTGAGACATTTGTATTTCCTTTCCCAAAATAGTGCATGTTCTTATGGGCCCTGTATTCAACGTCAGTTTGTGTTTTGCACAGATAGGTCCTGCAACACCAGCAGCTAAAACTCTCCGTGTGCAGTCAGGCTCTGCAAATCCACAGGAGCCGTAAGAGGCTTCGAACCTATGCGCTGGGTGTTCCCGTAAACACTCTCTAGTCGACTACGCCACGACATGGTAAAAGAGCGTGCATCTCATCACGGCTCCTGTGAATATTCTCATTGATATGTCACGATAATGTGATTTCTCTGTGTATTGAAAGAGGAGCGTCAAAGGTAGAATGGACGACGGAGCCAGAGTGCATGGGGGGGGGGGAGGATTGTGTGAAACCCCTGGTTAGGCTTCAGTGGAAGCCTCGGGGATCCTCCAGGTTACAATTGCCGTATATATGTATTATATATATGCTGTAACTCAATGTATTCAGTATGATGTAACACAATGTATTCAGTTTGTTGTAACACAATGTATTTTGCATGCTGAAATACAATGTGATGTATTAAATTAATCATTATCGACATTTGTATTATTATGTTCCAATTATTTCAATTGTTATTACTGTTTTATCTGTGATTTTGTTGCCTTATATATATCCAAGTTTTATGTCAGATGATCTATTATCACCAACAGCAACTGATTCTGCAATAAATACGTTGCAAGCAGGTGTGGCCGTGTAAGGAGGTGTGTGGCCATGTAAGCAGGTGTAGTCGTGAAAGCAGGTGCGGCCATGTAAGCAGGTGTGGCCATGTAAGCAGATGTGGCCATATAAGCAGATATGGCCATATAAGCAGGTGTAGCCATGTAAGCAGGTGTAGCCATGTAAGCAGGTGTGGCCATGTAAGCAGGTGTAGCCATATAAGCAGGTGCGGCCATGTAAGCAGGTGTGGCCATGTAAGCAGGTGTGGACATATAAGCAGATGTGGCCATGTAAGCAGGTGTGGCCATATAAGCAGGTGTGGCCATATAAGCAGGTGTGGCCATGTAAGCAGGTGTAGCCATATAAGCAGGTGTGGCCATGTAAGCAGGTGTGGCCATGTAAGCAGGTGTGGCCATATAAGCAGGTGTGGCCATATAAGCAGGTGTGACCATGTAAGCAGGTGTGACCATATAAGCAGGTGTAGCCATGTAAGCAGGTGTGGCCATGTAAGCAGGTGTGGCCATATAAGCAGGTGTAGCCATGTAAGCAGGTGTAGCCATGTAAGCAGGTGTGGCCATGTAAGCAGGTGTAGCCATGTAAGCAGATGTGGCCAAGCTGAAAGCGACCAACGTAAGCATTATTCCCTGACCTGAACTGACACCAAAGATACAAAATTAATAAATTAGCAAAAATTCACAGAAAAAAAATTAAACAAAGAAATCACATGAAAAGATTTCATGTTAAAAAATAACACTTTCGTTATGACAGTGTTCACGAGGGTGAGGAGAACACATGTTCTGAGAGAACATTATAAAGAGGGAGGTCAGCGCAGGCTAAATACGGAACAAGCAAATCCATAATTCATTAAGCATTTCCACGTCTACTTACGAAACCTGTACATCTTTCCACGGTCATGGCGACTTTGTATTTATTAATTAAACAGTTTATGATCTTCAAAGATTTGTAACTAAAGGTTAATATTGTTATAGACAATCTCGTAGCGCTTTGGAACTCGTCAATTGTTTAGTAAATTCCAACTAAGCCGCCATGTTTGATGGAAAGATGTAGAGGTTTCGTAGGTTGATAATTGTTTGAACAATCGTGGCCCAGGATGACTATGTATATGAAAGTGCTAAGTATTGAACAGTTGTTGAGCAGAGAGTTGTGAGAGAAATAAAATACAGGAATATAACCTTCATGATAAAGGAAAGATGCTATGACGTCTCTGTGGCGCAGCGGTAAAACACTCGCTCGCCGCTTCTTGAACGCTTTGGCCTGGGTTCATATTCTGGCCGGGGAAGATTGACTGGGTGCCAATCCTTAACTGTAGCCTCTGTTCACCCAGCAGTGAATGGGTACCTGGTTGTTAAACGATTTGGCGGGTCGTATTCCAGGGAAAAATTAGGATTAAGGACCTGCCCGAAACGCTATGCGTGCTAGTGGCTGTACAAGAATGTAAGAATTCTTGTATAAATAAATAAATAAATAAATAAATAAATAAATAAATAAATAAATAAATATATACATAAATAAATGAACTGTGGTGAACGGGGATGAACCACGAGGTATGGCGCCAAGGATGATCCACCGAGGCGAGGCTACAACAGACCAATGCCGCGAAAAGAATGAATAAATGCATAAATGAAAGCATTAACTAGGTATAAAAATTTGGAAAATTAGTTGGTACATTTTTATGAAAAATCGCTGATGCCGGCAGCGTGAAGAGAAATGTTATTAATTAATTAAAATCAACCCATCTTTCGAAATTGATTATAATTATAACAAGAATTTGGTCGAACGTACAAAAATGGACTGTTTCAGCCAACAATCTTCATGGTTTGTACTATTAACTATGTAGTGCACGAAAAAAACGAAGATAAAAATCATATAGCACGTATTTATTCAAGATTAGGCCTAAGATATCGAATATTAGGCATATGATATCGTATATTAGGCCAAGGATTGCTTGGACAGACACTCTTCTAATTTTTTTTGTATTTGGGTTATCTAACAATGAATTAAGACACTAGTCATCGATGTCAAATGATAGTAAATAAAAGCCTAGCTTAATATTTGGTAATGAACATCATATATAATTTAGTTTTGCATGTCATATACATTTTTCTCACAGCTATTGTTACTGTAAGTGAATTTTGAAAACATTAATATATTTGAGCTTTTGTTTTTTTTAAGCAAATTCTAGGAATCGCAAAATGAAGCAAAATAGAGATGAAAGATGCGATACAGTCTCCGTGGCGCAGTGGTAAAAACTCGCCCGGCGCTTCGTCAACGCTTTGACCTGGGTTCATATCCGGGCCGGGGAGGATTGACTGGGCGCCAATAAATATATATATATGAGCTAAGATCCCGAAATGAGCTAATTTCGGGATTTAATACCAAAATATAATGGCATCCAATACATGTGAATCAATATGAAGAGCGGCGTTTGGTAAGCTTAGAGCGCTACGGGTCGAGGGGAGGGGTAGGAGCCGAGAGCTCTCATGTGCGTGCAAGCTGAGAACACTGAGTGCGATAAGCGGTGATCACCAAGGTGTGTCGCAAGATCAGAGCGCTTATACGTGTGGTAGCTTAGAGCATAGTGGCGCTCCTGGGTATTGGGGTGTGTGTGATAGGAGGCTCTGAATGCTACATTTCGTAGATGCTCAGTGTCTTATTAGCTCGGGTTATTGGGTATGTAGTAAGCATGGAGTACTGGGTATGTAGCAAGCTTGGAGTACTGGGTATGTAGTAAGCTTGGAGTACTGGGTATGTAGTAAGCTTGGAGTACTGGGTATGTAGTAAGCTTAGAGTACTGGGTATGTAGTAAGCTTGGAGTACTGGGTATGTAGTAAGCTTGGAGTACTGGGTATGTAGTAAGCTCGGAGTACTGAGTATGGTAAGCTCGGAGTACTGGGTATGTGGTGAGCTCGGAGTACTGGGTATGTGGTGAGCTCGGAGTATTGGGTATGTGGTGAGCTTGGAGTACTGAGTATGTGGTAAACTCAGAATCTCAGAGCAACGGGATGATTTTGATAATACAGAGCGCAAGGGAAATAAATAAATATTTCAACCCCTCCAACCTGTTTAGACAGTACTTTTTTGTAACTGTATGCACCATAGTACAAATATTGACGTACTAAGCAATTAGATAGTAGAATTTGATACTATTCACTTTATAGTTAAAAAAATTAAGCTAAAAAACAAATATTTCTAAGCCTAGTATAGCACACATATGTACTATATTAGGCCTCAGATACTGTGTATTGGGCCTAGGAAGGTAAGGTTAGGTTAGGTTAGTTAATTTGTCTTACCAACAAAAATATAAAATCTTTTTCAGTTTGAAGAACTTCAATAGTACCGATTTCTACTTTCTCATTGTGTTGTACGTCGGTGTATGTACTATGGTCCTCATGGTTACTATAAGTACTACCAAAACAGGAGGACGGGCTGTGGTAGTAGTGGATGTGTGGGTCGTGGCAGGCGTGATAGTGGTTGCTGTGGTCCTTACCTATCAATGCTTACCTAATGGCCTTGTATCTGGTGGGATTTCTTTTACTGACGTAGTAGGTGGCTGTTTTAGGTGGTTGTTTTAGTGTTTTGTGGTTGGTGGTAATTATGATAGTAGAGTAAGGTTGTGGAAGTGATGGTATGCTGGTAGTGCTTGCCTACCTCTCGCGTTATAATTTAATTTCCCTGACGTTTTTTTTAGGCCTCAGGTAATTCGAACTGTTTTTCGAATTTGGCCTTAGAGCGGTGTTGATGATAGTGGTAGTGGTGGTGGAGAGGGTTGTGGTGGTGGGTTTTAGTGGTAGTGGTGGTGGAGTTTGTGGCGGTGGAGTAGACGGTGGTGGTGGAGTTTGTGGTGGTGGAGTTTGTGGCGTGGAGTAGACGGTGGTGGTGGAGTTTGTGGCGGTGGAGTAGACGGTGGTGGTGGAGTTTGTGGGGGTGGAGTTTGTGGCGTGGAGTAGACGGTGGTGGTGGAGTTTGTGGGGGTGGAGTTTGTGGCGTGGAGTAGACGGTGGTGGTGGAGTTTGTGGCGTGGAGTAGACGGTGGTGGTGGAGTAGACGGTGGTGGTGGAGTTTGTGGTGGTGGAGTTTGTGGCGTGGAGTAGACGGTGGTGGTGGAGTAGACGGTGGTGGTGGAGTTTGTGGCGGTGGAGTAGACGGTGGTGGTGGAGTAGACAGTGGTGGTGGTGGTGGTGGAGTTTGTGGCGGTGGAGTAGACGGTGGTGGTGGAGTAGACAGTGGTGGTGGTGGTGGTGGAGGCGGCACAAGGCCACATGCGCACTCCGTGCAGCGGCGTCCCGGTGTTGCTATGCTCCTGCTCATCGTGAAGGGAGTTATCTCATTTGCGTCAGCCCCTCCTCCTCCTCCCTCCTCCCTCCTCTTCCCCCCACTTTGTCTTCTCTCACGATACAAAATAAAGAAATAATAATAATTTTATCATCGATTTGCTCAACTTTATCCTTCATTCAACCCGTCTTCTCAATACTGCGTCTCATTTTGTATGTTATGGTCTCCAACTTATAAATTAAAAAGTGCTATGAAAAGTCGTGGCTCACAAATATCCACGTTTTCTGTGCATTGGTAGGGTAGGTTAGGTAGGTAGCTTGGGTTCGTGCGTGTCTGGTTAGATTAGGTTGTATTTTGCACGTTGTGGCAAATCAAGAAAACGGGCTGTTCCCTAACCTATCTTCATGGAATTATATGAAGCACAAAATGTTATTTTAAGTTCAGTTTTTAACTTTTTATACACTTAAAAAAAGTGTAATTTTGATAAAAAAATTTACATTCTTTTAGGAGCGATTACACATAATAAATTTAGGTTAGAACTGGTTTACTTAATTTAGTTTTACACTAATTAAAATGTAATTTGAAATTGTCTACTCAATGGAAACTGTAATTTTGCCAAATAAATATTAATTTTATGAAGTTCAATGTCAAACTTGGTAGCAATGTCTCCAATTCAATTGTTTTTATGAAATAGAGTGAGGATCGTGTAAATCCATTTTCGCTGCTGAAACATTTGCACATAAATACATACATACAGAGAAATTCACAGATCTCAAATAAAGATGACACGCATCACCTAATGATTCGTTTTATTTGATAAAAAAAGACCAATAACATTGGGGCTAATTTTGTTATTTTCTTTATGATAGATGTGTTACTTACACACACGCACACATTTATATAAGATAATGCCTGTTTATTGTTCGATGTCGGAAACCAGACGCTCAGGAAGATGGTGAAGGATAGGGCAGTTTTTTTGTAGTTTAGTGTCAATCTGTAAAAATAGTATTTTTGGAGTAATTTTAATTTTTTTAAGTTATATTTCATAAAATGTTTTTGCTTGATTAATTTTAGTTGAAACGTTTTTAATTTAGTTTTTAGTAATTCTTGATTAATTGTTTTTGTTGTTTAGATCAGAAGATGAACACGGCTTTTTAAATAAAAGTACTTTTTAAGAAGATGCTTGCCACGACATTGGTCATCCTTTTTATTTTAAAATTAAGATTCCCATATATATATTATTTTTTTTCAAATTTCATTTTCAATTCCAAAATTTTTATCTTCAGCTTGGCTTACTACTTATCTTCAGCTAAGCTACAAAAGTAAGTAATATCAATAGGCGCCA